ATCTGAAGTCTAACTAGCTACTATATCTAAGACACAGTCCTGTGAAACCGGCCCCAGGCTATGGTAGTCTAAGTGGTTTATTTCCCACAGGGAGATTGTCACTAAATGCCTTTGACACCATCAATCTGCTTGCTCTAATGATACATCATGAAATTGGCTGTTCTTCAAAAGGTCAGCAGCAAACGGAGTCAAAGTTCAAGTTCAGGCGTGACGTTACAGCGTTGCAGAACTTGGTGTTATGCTTCGTTTGATGAGTTCAATGCACGAGTCATGCAGAAGGACCTTTGTATGAAATTGGCCGGCTTGATAAAATGCTAATGATCTGTGCTGAGGAAGCGAAGACTGGCTTTAAAAATTAGTTTCGTCAAACTTTAAAGTTACACTTTTAATCAATAAGGCCATTAATCGCAGGTTACAAAGCTAATCTTAAGTTTTCTTGCTAATGCGCACAAAAAAAAGTTGCTGTCTTAAGCCCAAGTGGATTGTACTTTAAATATTTAAGTCATTTCAACTTAAATTACTTGAACCTGACTTTAAAAAAAAATTAGCTGAATCTTGTAAAACGAATAAAACTTATTTTTGATGAGTTAAAGCAATGTAAAAACATATGTTGTCATAACTAATAATATTGATCGTATTCAGAAGTATTTGTTAGGGTCACCATTCAGGTTTATGCAAGTCCCATTTTCCTAATATTATATTATGTATTGTGACAGTTGGAAAATTAAATGAAGTGTGTTTTAGTACAAGTAAATGTTCGATGAAAAACAGCTTTAGCTTCTACAAGCCTTTGCGCTCTTCTATCGTGACCCGCTTTTAATGGGACTCAAAGTGCAATACCAGGTGAGCTACTAGGCAATTTTACTCTGAAAAGCCACACATATGGAGCTGTTTGTGTGATGCACATGTCAAAATGTATTCGTTTACACACCATGCACTATGTTAAAAGCGTCTCGAGGTCATAACATGGTATCGTGCACTGCAAAGAACCACGAATTGCCTGTGTAATCATAATATGTATGAAAAGGAATACAGTTTGTATTTTACTGCCACTAGTGTTCATTTTAACCGGTACGTTTTTTGGAGTTTTGCAGAGCTGACCTATGGCTAAGCCACGCCCTCAAACACGATGAGCCAATCACAGTGTGCAGCTAACGCAATACACATTCTCTGCTTCCACGTCCATTGAAATGCAGTGCGGTTAGTCAGTTTTCAGTCATTTTTTCTTGTCATTTTAAGTTTAAAATGGTCAAACGGTGTGCTAAGTGTACAGATAAGTGTCTGCTCTGGATTAAGTTTAAGATTAATGCGATTAAGTTATGCGGTAGGCCACAACACCAACTAAACGTGGATAAATTAAACAAGGATGTCTACATCTGTTCTAAGTCAAGTCAACAACGTATTTGAACGTTGTCTTTAAAATCTCTAACGTAACGTTAGGCTAACGTTAGCCTAGCATTAGAAAACGTTAACGTTAGCTTCTAGCTGGGTTGTACGTCATGTCACTTAGCTTCATTAACGTATCTGTAAATAACCGAGATAACAAATGTTAACAATGTTGTGCTGAATGATTCAAAAGGTGGTGGCAACGATATGCGGTTTATCACGTTTACACTGTGACCTGTACATGTTTCGACCTGTATCGACCTTTTCAACAATAAAATTATTAATATAACCCTCCAATGCATAGTTTAAGGCCCTTTAGGTGACTTCGAGATGATATATAATCTTTCTGTCGCCAAAATTCACCAATGGCCTCCTGTGAAATGTCTCCTACTGTGACAGCTGCCATAGCGCCTGTCCCCGAATGTTGACTGTTTGTCCGAGTGAGTGGAGGGGGCGTGGCTTAGCCATAGGCCCGTTTTCCCAAAAGGGTTCTGTAACTTACATAACCAGTGTTTATTTTTAGTTAGCATTTAGCTTAGTTAGTACCATGGGGTAGTGATGCAATATGGCATGAAAATGAGCTAAATAATCTGTGATTAATACATAAATGTAAGGTGTTTCCTGCACTTTAAAAGAACTTTTAAGAGTACTTTTTGTTTAAAAACTGACATACGTATAAGCAACTTGTATGAATCCCCCAATAATTCTCTCTCAGAAAAAAACAAGGCATCAGATCATTTTGTTTTTCTCACTCTCTTCCCGATAACATCTCTCGAAATATCCATAACAAAGGAAGTTTGTTCTATCGGTGAGAAGATTCAATGCAAATAGGAGTATGGGGGAGTAGGGTCGGGGGGGGGCATCTGTCGTCATCCTCAGCAGGAACAATACGCCAAGCAACACTTCTTTTTAATCATCACTATCAAAGCTGGCAAGCTGGCAGTAAAAGCCAAGTGCGCTCCAGCTTCAGGGCAGAGTAAGAGAGCGTTTGAGGATAACATGAAGACCCACCGCTAGCCCATGGGGATAGGAGGTGATTATTCAAGCAGCCAATTAGACGCCTGTCTGCATGTTTGTTACATCTCACAACTGTTTAAACCCCTGAGAGGTAAACAGAGAGAGAGAGAGAGAGCAAGAGTGGGGAGACTGGGGACTCCAGCCTCTCCGTCTATTTCCTTCCTTGTGCCACAGGAATACAGTTGTTTACTTACATGTTGAAGGTGAAGCTGTATATTTACATGGCAAAATGAGATGGGGTTTTGTGCTTGACACATGACTAAACTTAACGCATTGTGTTTTGCTTCCTGTAGATTTGTTGACACATGGTAACACATGTATGGTGGTCTTGCATCAGGACCCTGTTTTGTGGAACATCAAGTGACGACTCAACATGGTACCAAAAGTAAACAGAAATTTCCTAAAAAAATTTATGTTGATAACAAAAAATTATTATTATTATTGTTATTACACTTTAAAAAGTGGTTAGTTGACCATAACTCCGAAATGTGAGGAAACCCGTTGCCTTAAAATTAAGTAAATACATGTCATGCGTAATTGAAAATAGTAGCCCTCTAACCGTATTCACTTTATAGCCCTTAATCCTGTAATTGTGGGCACAGAGGACTCAGGTGTGATCCTAATTTTTATTTATTATAAATGTTATATCACTGTCTTCCATAAAGTTTTGTCTATCCATTTATGGTGTTTTTTTTTTATTTTGGGGGTATTTTTGAATTTATTTACTTCAAAAAAGTACCATATTTTCTGTGTAAATTATGCTTATTTTTATGGGGGGGTTTTTTGACATTTTTTTTTAACTACATTAAAATATCATTCCAATAAGTTATTAGAGCAAAAAACCTAAAGATAAAGTGACTTTGCTGTCGCCTGGTGTCTTATTTTGGCTTATTTTAGAATGCTCTAAATTACAGTTTTTCCCATTCATTTCTATGGGTGCCCATTTTTGACCCAAATACAAGATTAAGGAGGGTTTTTTCACCCACTTAACATTGTAGAATTGAGTCAAAAAAATTGTGTGTGTTCACGAGGCACACTTAGGAAAAGTAGCCAAGTCTTGTACCGCTCAGATCAAGGGAAGTATTTTTTAAAAAATAAATCAAAACTATTTTGCCCACATTTGTCCAGAATATGGTTTAAGGGTTAAGTACTTGACAATTCCACATGACTTTTTTCAGTTGCGCATGATGTTTATTTACTTAATTATTTTAGGTCAACTGATCATTTACAGTGCATGTTGTTGTTTGGTCAGTATTTGATTTTTAAGAAATTTCTGTTTACTTTTGGTTAGTTAGTGTTGTAGTTTAAAAAAAGGGTCTTTATAAATACACAAATATACATTTACACTCATTAAATCAAGACCTTTTAAATGACTCCAAGTGGACAGTTACATATATAATAATAATAGTATTACATTTTATATAATATATTGCCCGTTTCACAATAATGTGAGTGTTTTTACTCCCTTTTTAAAAACTTAGCCTATTTATTTATCTCTTTATTCTTTATTATACAGAACTGTTTATTTAACTGTGGATAATTATATGAATAATATTTTTTTTGATATTTGTTTATCCCTGCTTGAGAGTCACTGCCATGTCTTTTTTTACTATTTATTTTAATAAATCTCCCTAATGTTATTGTGCATGACTCATCAGTGCACGTTATACGTGGGCAAAGAGGTTTTTGAAATCTTTTTTTCAAAATGCAATAACTTTCTCTGCCTTTGAGTTTTGTGATGTTCTTTTGCACTCGTTGGTAAGGCAAAGATGTATTAACCAGTTTTTAACCGTACATTATTTTCCCCTTGATATTGTTTCATTTAAAAAACAATTTTTCTTGCTTCATGTTGTCTTTAAACAATTGTTCAATACAAGTCCAGCATCTCTGGCATGCTGTCAGTTTCAACAGGTAATCATTTCAACACATTACCCACTTAATGTCTAATGTCTATCCCGCACTGCAGATGTTCGGCAAGTTTTAGCACCTGCACTCGCTTAAATTTTCAAGATGCATGTCCGCTTTTTAGGGATCACTCAAAACTTAAAACGCAAAAGCATGAAATAGATTTCCAGTTTTCCACAAAATGTGTCTTCATTATTCTTTTATGCTCTCTGTCAAAGAATATTTCTTATTCCGGTCATGAGTCTAGGCAATTACTTTTTTTTAATATTTAATTTAGTCAGTGTAGCACAGAGTGAAATCGTGTGTGTGCACGATTGGTGTTGTTTGAAACATTTTTTTATGGAATACATTATTAATATTTTGAAATGGATAAATAATTCTGCCTGGAATTGTTGATGTGGTGGCTCATCGGTTTTATACGGGACAAATGTGTGCCGTTGTCTCGGAGGAGCTCAAAGCAATCAGTGCTTTCGACTTGCAGTGCTGCTCTGCATTCTGCAACCTGTTCACATCCAGAACACTTCAGAGTGGACACCGTGCAGATGGTGGCTTGCTTTGAGTAAATGATAAAAGAAAGTTCATTTGTCCCTGTAAGACCATCAGGTGTGAGCATTTTGATAACTAGGGCACATTTTACTGTAATTTTATGTCTCCAGTATCCAGTATTGGTTCCTTAACACGCTCTGCTCCAGATACAAGATCAAACTGGACTCGGATGAAACCCAGTATGGAGGCCATGGAAGACTGGATCACAACACCGATTTCTTCACTGAGCCATTGGAATTCAACAATCGGCCCAACTCTATGATGGTATGCTTTGCACACAATACTATTTGTTAGCATAAACTATACACATAATACACCACTCCTAGCCCATTCAGAATTTGTTCTTCTTTGCTGATTGTGGAGAAAAATGTGTGTATCCTCAATACCACAGAAAAAAAGTGACATTAGATATGAAGAAATCAAATTAAACCAATTGTAGCCTTTAAGCACATCTCATTAAGTAAACATTGCCCAAGTAATTAAAAACAAGTAAACAAATCCCCATTTGATTACTCGAGTAAACGTTCAGTGATCAAATAAAGATTAAATCAACACATTACAAACACTAGATCAAATTAAAAGCTTCAAATGAAACAAACAGCAGTGTTCATGTATCTAACAGTAGTACATTATCAGTTCATGCAAAGATTCACGAAATTACATGTAAATCAACCCTACTTTAATTTGTGTGGTCTTCAATACATGATTATTAGATATAATGAATACTGATCTGATGATGTTGGAGTTTGACTGAGAGTCAGGTCTTATAAAATCAGCCATGCGGTTTTGTTTTTTCTTCTTAATACTGTTGTTTGAATCAAATGAACGACACAATGGACATTTATACCAGTGGGTCTCAACCGGGGAGTCTCACAAACATTGTAATGGGCTTCAAAATGACTTAAATGATTTAAAATTAGCCAAAGTAGAGCCCGACCGATAAAGGATTTTGAAGGCCGATACCGATACAAATATTTTTTGGTTTTAAAATCCGATATATCGGCCGATATATATATATATTTTTTCTCAGAAACGCGCAACAAAACATTAACAGATTTCCCTAACAGTTATTTGTAGTTATTTATGAGTTTTAACTAAAATAACTCTTTCGTCACAACAGAACAGAGGAACATCAAAATATATTAAAGTTCTGATAAATAAAATAATAATTAGCCCCTACATTGCCTTATAAACTAAAGCTACACTGCAAATTGCAAAGCATACATTTTCAATTTAACAGGCCAAGGAGAGATGATTGAAGCGCGTTTTGTCCGTTTTTATTTTATTTTTGAAATATTAATTTATCGGCCATTATAACTGCCGATATCGATACTTTGGAAAATGTCTAATATCGGCCGATAATATCGGCCGGCCGATATATCGGTCTGGCTCTAAGCCAAAGCAACTATGAATCAGAATGTTTATGATCTTTAATTCTCTGAACTCGCAACATTTGTCTGGATATATGATATTTTAGAAGTATGAACTCTAGACCTGGAAAGGTTATGTAAATGAAGTAAACAACTCTGGGTATTTTAATAATGAATACCGGTAATCTTTGTTTTTTCTTTTTAACTTATGCCAAGCATTTTATGGGGTTGTGGGTACCAAATTGTGGGTACCAACTGAAAAATTCATGGGGCCTTTGAATCTTTGGAATCAAAAAGGTGATATATTACAATGTCAAATGCACAGGACCAATTTCATTCAAGACATACTATGTTTACACAAAATATCCCAGAAAGACAAGCATTTTCATGAAGTGCATTTGACCATTTATCCTAGTAACCATACTGACATGTGGCAAGACACATGAGACATCCAAAAAAAAAAAATCAAAAATGACATCTTTTTCCATATATCATAGCTTTGAGATTTTTTCTGGTTTTATTTTCCCGCATTAGCATGCAAAACTCCTCCTGAAAAGTGTTTGAAGACTGAAAGAGCATTTATTGAAGCTCAAGACAAGAGTTTGTGATTGAACTAGGGCAATGAACAACATTTTCAAGCATCCATTACTTGGGTAATGCATGTACTACATATCTTAAACCATGCAGTCACTATACAGTATAATCTTTCTGTTATTGATGCTCCTTTTATGTATTAGGCTTTTATCAGAGCAGTATTAAATGTAAGTCAAGTGCAACACTATCTGTAGTAGTCATAGTTCAGTTGATCTAGCGAGTCTCCATCAGATAAGTTCTTCTATCTCTTGGGTTTCAGCAGTCATATTGTGAATTCTCTTTCCAGAGGCCTTATTGAAATTAAATGCATGGCGTGAAATTTAAAACCCGTGTTTCCGGCTGTAGCTCGTGATGCAAGTGTTCATTCCTCCCTCGCTTCTCCTCTTTTCTTTGTCGCCTCCCTCGTCGTCTCCTCACCTAAGGGCCTGCTGACGATTTAATAAAAATTCAAAAGCAAACTTTCCGTTTTGCTGACTTGTCCTATTGTCAACATAGTTTTGTTATTGTTAAGCAGACCGTGTAGAACAATCTTGAGCTTGTAGGTGAAAAGTGTCAAATTAAAGATGTACATAACTGATGTTTGTTGGCTTAGTTGTGTAACAGCTTGGGACCAAGCAATGATTTCATTAATCTGATATATTCATCCTCGTCTCGTTGACTTATTTTCTTCCTTGGAGAACAAAGGGTGATATTTTTTAAGAAGGTCAATGAATTGAAAGATTACATGAGACAGCAAAAATGTATAGGTGCTTAAACACAATTTTGAATAATTGACTTATGTTACATGGGCTACATTGCAGGTAGGGTTGGGTATCGTTTGAATTTGAACGATTCTGATTCCGATTCCTTGTTTCGATTCGGTTCCTAACGATTCTCGATTCCGACTCTTTTAAGAGGCAGGGTCAAAAAAGTTTAGCTAACCTTGCTAACCAATGGTCTTTCGTAAGGAAATAAACCTTTCTGAAGGAAATACTCCTTCTGTCACAAATACTCCTTTTGTCACAAATTTTGCATTTTGCCGAGATTTCGTTATTTTTAGAAAAGTGAAGCCACACTTTGGACCGCCGACGTAAGCTACTCATGTTCGACTCGCGCGGTTATGCCAACACTTCCGGTAGACGCTTCTTCGTTGGTGTTGTTCAGCGGTTTCTTCTTCCGCTCGGCGGACTGTGAATATCGAAACTAGGAATCAAAATTTTAACTTTTGAACGATTCCGGGAAAAACGAAAAGTTAGTCCCGATTCCAATCGATACTCGATTCTCGATACCCAACCCTAATTGCAGGTGTGTGAGTCTTGAAATAAACAAAATAACAATAACAATATTTACGAGATGTTTAGTTCAGTGTCACTCATTCAGTGAAAGTGTGTTCGTTCAGTTGGTCCAGCCAGTGAAATGCTCCTGAACAAAGCCACGTGTGAGTATCAAATTACTCATGCTAGCAGTCGTCATGTGCTATCTGATATAGTGCTAGGTGATCCGATACTGTAATAGGCATTTATTAAATCTGCATTATTTATCAACTGTATCATTTTCATACTAGTAAATGTGCTGAATCTACTCTGGGAATATTTCAGGGGTTGAAAAGGCCTTGAGGTCTTTGCTACAGTAAATCTCAAAACAATAGTTAAACAATAAACACTTGATTCTCTGCAGAAAATAAGTAGCCAAACTCTAAGCAAAATACATGATTGAAAAAAAATGATTTCTAGACACTGATATGCAGTGTCAAGGATCAGAGCTGGATATTTATTTATTAGCGCTGCTTATTTTCTGCAGAAAATCAAGTTTTTAGTGTTTAACTATTGTTTTGAGATGTACTGTAGCCTCCTCATTGCATATGAATATGGATGTTCTGTATGTTGCGGTTCTGAAGTTGAATAGATATGACCTGAACCCTGTGAAATTGATAGTGATGCATTAGTCTGAATTTATATTGATCCATTTAATGCACACCCCGAACTCTGCACCAAAGAATCAGCAGTTTATGCTCCCATTTGATCTGTTGCGGCCATGGATACAGCAAGAATAGCCTAATTTTATGATATAAAGAGTTTATATTGGGATTTATAGTTCTTTTATGTTTTCAAAGTAGTTTTTTTAAATCCATCCTCTTTACAAACACCGCTGCTAAAGCTGTCCATGCAGCGTTTGTGACAAATTCATGATCATATTTTTAAAAACCATTCAGCTCCATTCGGTTGCATGCCAAAGCTATTTGTGAACCCAACACGCTTTAGTCCACATTCACACAGCAACAGAATACGGTTGTCAGTCCTGTATTTACACACAGACACTGTTGCATCATGCCTGGTTTCGGTAACTTAAAGCGACGGAGATTTGAGCTGTGTGTGTTTTCGATCCAGTCACTTCAGTTGTGTGTTTTACGCATGACTCAAATGCTCCACTCTCCATCCAGATATAAACACTTCTGTTGGCTAATGAAGACTTGGACTGATAAATATTGCAAATTCAATTGGACTTGTCATGTCAAAAGTGATAAGACTTAAGTTTTATGGACGTCGCCATGTTTGATATCACTTTAGTCATTGTGGGTAAGAGAATAAGGGCTTGATTCCTGTTGCACGTTCATACAGACAGTAATGTGAAGTCAAACATGTAATTTATTATTACTTGAGAAATTACTGAAGAGAATTCTCTTTCGGTTTCGCCGAATTGACGGTCATAGACGGTGTTACGGATAGGCTTCACACAGAAGTTGCTGTGTGAATGGGACATTTTGAGACTCGCACATCGTAAATGCGATCGCCAATCTCAAACGCTGACAGTGTGAACGTCGCACTCTAAAAATGGTCAATATTGTAAAAATAAAAGGTTTCACATACAGCGGAGCCATTTTTGGCTCCCCAAAGAATCTCTGTAATGACTTCCTAATAAAACCTTTTTTCTTAGTGCGAAAAACATTTTAAAAATCTAATGATCCTATTTTCACTTTGAAGAACCTTTTGTGAAATGGTTCTTCTTGGAACCATAGGTGCCAATGAAAAGACTGATCGCATGAAATGGCGTGTGCATGACACGCCAATTCGTATTTCCATTTTTGGCGTGCTATCAACACGCACAATCGCTTTTCAGCGTGTTTATGAACACCGTTGGCTTAACATTACATTACTGTGTATATAAATATATGACCTACCCCAACCCCGTCCCTAAACCTACCCGTCACTGGGGTTAAAGGAGTAGTTCACTTTTAAAAAAACTTTTGCTGATAATTGACTCACCCCCATGTCATCCAAGATGTCCATGTCTTTCTTTCTTCAGTCGAAAAGAAATTAAGGT